CCCATGGAAGGGCTGCCAAAGGAGCGCTGGCACTTCCCACGCCACGCGATGGACTTCACATGGCTGTGTCAGCTCATGGGTGACAGCGCAGGAACCTGAAAGGTTTTGGTGATCACGGTCTATGTGAAGTTACTCCATCTGAGAGGTCTGAATCATCAAAATGACTTAGGAAATCCCAGTCTCTGAGCGTCATCACCACCTGTATGAGTTTATCTCAATGGGATTTTCAAAATGGGAATTAAAGACACAGTGGTATTGGAAGAGGGACCTGAGGTTCCAGGGAAGGAATGTGCATGCTTATTGGAGGACAGGTGCCCCCTTTTGCCATTTTGTCTTTTGTCTTTGTTAAAAAGGCCATCAACCTTTTTACGACATATACAAAGGACTTTGCGTCTCGCTTAGTACAGGAGCGCTGTAGGGTGAATTGAAGATGTGTAGCTCTCCATAAAGTGCAGGATCCTAACTTCAACTTTTACAGGACAGTTTGAGAGCTTAAAGTTAAGAATCTGTTCAAATGTTTTTCTAGATGTGCCCTCACACCATAATAAAAAGATGGCACATGTAAACCTCTTTTCAGTTACAGTCCAAGGGGGTTAAGGACCACAGCAAACCCATCCATAGGTGTAATGCCGACTCCAGACTTCCCTTTCTCTGGGGTAATTTTCCCTTCAGACTTCATCCCCTGGTGATCTCAAAGGCCAGCTGCCACAACCCTCTGCTCTTTAAGATTCACAGGGGATGTGGTATCTCCCACAGTTTCTCAGCTTCAAGCTGTTGTGAACTTCTCTAAGTAAGGCACAAGGACAACCTAACCACTCTTTTTGAGAGACATAGTGGTCAAAAACTAAACTTCTTTGAAAGCAGAACCAATGAGTGAACTGGAACACCATGGGAGTGTACTAATCCCCCAAATCTATAATAAACAGATAAAGTTAATAAGATTCAATAAGAGAGAACAGCCCCATTAACGTTTTAAGAGCACTGTCTAAACATTACACACATTATTTACCGAGTTCCCAAGCTGAATTCTCCGTACACAGGAACACTCCAAATTCATTATCTTTGGATGCAAAGCTTAGTAAATTCAACGGTAATTAATCTCCATTTACCCTCTGTGTGTGTTTCTGAACAGACGAAAAGTTCATTGAAAAAGTTCTTTCAGCCAGTCTGAAAGAAAAGCAGTGCTTTGATAAACAAAAAGGCACCAAACACGGGCCTCTCAAAGGGAAACAGAGCAGCTAGCCAGTTTCTGCGTGGTTCAAGCCAGGTGCTCATTGCAAATTCAGTAGCATGCACTGGCAAGTGTCAGCGGCAGAGGAACTGAAATGACTGAAATTCTTATGCCAGTGTAATTTGCTGAAGGCAATGAACTGAGGGTTAAGGCAAATTGTGCATGTGTTGAGGATTATAAAACAAATTAAAATGGAGGCTAACAAAAGGAGTGCAATATTTATGCATTTCTTCATGCTTTTCAGTCTGTGGTACTCAATCAACTTCATAGGCTCTTAAGGTGGCATGGGGACACTGCTATTATGTACATTCATTTGCTCCTGAAAAGGGAGCTCAGATGTAGTAGGCTAGAGAATGCAGCTGATTCTGGTAATATTTATCAGTATCACAGTTAACCCACCAAATATTTACAACACACAATTACTTCTAGTCCTGTGATATTTAATCAACACCAAAAATGCAGGGAGTTTTCTGTTCAGAGCATTCCATTTAACTGTTTCAATTTTGATATGCCAGCCCATTTTACCATGTATTCCTCCACTTTCCCTTAAATTCCTGCATTCGTGGATCCCAGATGTACAAAAGTATAAATGCATTAATCACCCATGACTTACTGCAGTGGAGTCTATTACATGGTGTAATGCACTTAATGTCTGATACCTAATTTACTTCAACTTTCTAAGTTATTAAGCACCCCACTGTATGATCACCCAGCACGGACCAGTAACCAAATAGGTTATCACTTTGTGGAATGGGAAACAAGTCCCCTATGAAATATGCTTTTAGTTATGTATTCCCAGCCCTCTGCTGGCAAGACCTGCCATGTAGCTGAATGGAGATGTAAGGACATGTGCCCATGTCCAGCCCTTCTGCACCATAAACTGGAGTTTTGAAACCAAGATGTGCCCACTCATCCCTGTTCCAATGCTGATGTGGGGTGGAAACTTCTACAAGCAAAGGGGACCAAAGAGGTGACAGGAATTGTATTTTCAGTTGTCACCACAATATTCACCCAAGACCAGCTGCAGGGAGTTGGACATTCTTTTAATTACAGAGACCTTTGCATGTTTGGCTATGAGAGGCAGAGGCACGTTGTCCTCACCCTTTGGTGACAGACTGTCGGAGGTGTCTGCAAGAGTCAACCCTTGCTCCTACCCAAGGAAACAAAGCAAACTGGGTGGTTTTTCATTTTCTGTCTACATTTGAGCAGACTGAATACCACTGCCTGAGACACTAAAGATGAAACAGAGAGTTTATTTACATTTCACCGTAACAAGGAGATATTTTCACACTGGTTAAAGTCTTGGAGTTCACAGATGCTCCAGACTTGCTCCAAGCAGCGCTGCCAGAGATGACCAGGAGCCCACCATCCTTCACCTCACCATACAAACCAAAGGACAAAAAAACTTCCAACTAGCCTCCAACAGTTGCAGCCTAAGTGTAAAACAAGTGACAACAGATGGGATCAGACAGACGGGGGAGGAGAGGGGGAAAGATGAGGTAATATTAAGGAGTGTGACAGGCAGGGGTCTCGGCACATCGGCAGCCTTGCTGTTGTCAAGTGTTTTTTTGTAGGCATCACATATTAAGGTTGTATTTGGAGAATTATAGATTTTACACTTGATTTTCTGGCAGGGAAACAGGGAGCTGCTGCCAGCTACGAGGCATCTTAGAAATGAGATTAGTTTTCGAACCTATTCAAGTGATCTTCTTATTGTTATTTCTTTGTAAGGACCAAATCCTGATCTTAATTACACGAAGTTCATTTGAATATCTCCATCAACTGCCATGGAGCTACTCCAGATTAACAGAAACGTAACATCAACGTCAGGACCTGGATTATCAAGAGAGGCATGACAGTTTTACATCATTGCAATCAATGGTTAAGAAGTCGCATTGTTTTGGCTTGAGAAGATTTTCTCATACACAAAGGAGGTCAGAATCTGCCCCATTCTGGTATTAGAATAGATTGGGATCCAAAGGATCAAGTCTATATACGCAGATTCTTCTATAGCATCAATAAATAATGCAATAGTGGTAATTGAGGTTACACTTTATGAACAGCATTATTAGGATTTACATTCCATATGAAGCAAGTCAGATGAACAAACATAATACCCAGTCGCGGTCCACTTCCCTTACTCTGTCATTTCTACAGCTGCCCGCGTGCTGCAGGTGCTGATAGTACACACATCTGACTGTAATCCACGCGTCAGCCTGATAGCACACCAGTTCTGGGAGAGACTGCCTCCAGCAATCATTTCAAGCCTGGTTAAAGCAGCAGAATGGAATCATCAACTCAAATGTTGAAAGTTACATGTTCTAATAATGGAAATGAGATTTGGTGGGCAGTTTTTCTGTTTCTTATTCTTTGACGGAAAAAATAAATGAGAAATGCCTTACAAAGACTAACACTAACGTATGTATCCCTCAATAATGAGAGGTATGAATGGCTGGGTCTATAACCCCTTATAAATCTTTCATTCTATAAACTGCCCGTTAGCATTATTCTTGGTAATGGAGATCTATATGAAGTTGGTAGGTCCTTTTTTAATCCCCAACTTACTAAGCAAGACAAAAAAGAGCTGAATTACAGTGGAAAAAAATGACTCCCCTGGAGAATTAGAGTACAGCCACTTGCTGACAAATTGTTATTATTTAAAACACTTTTCTAGCTTTTAATATTGAAAATACTTTCAATCACTGAAGAGTCTTTAATTTAGGACAGTGGATGGCAGGGATGTCATCGAGGAGACCAGACTAGCTCATCTGCCTCAGCACAAGGACTGGACCAGATGATTTCTCAGGATTTTTTCTAGTCTGACATTTATATGAAACAACTCTGGTTTGACTACACCTTCCAAACTGCATGTAAGACATATGAAGATACCCTGTTGCCAGCAAGAATTGTCATTGAATTCCAGTTCTCCCAGTCCCGAGACACAATAGCACAGGGTTGGATTGCACGTGGGGATGGACCAAAATCAGAAGGATTTACCCCACACAGTTACCACACAGGATGGAAGCAGTGGCTAAATAGATAAAATACAATCAGGATTCCGTCTATCCCCCAGGCCCACACAGCTATAGTAGCACGGAAGGTGATTTTACAAACCAAACCATCACTGTATTTGTCTCTGGCTTTTCCCTGATGGAATTCAAGTTTCTTTAATACCAAGGATTAATGGCAAACCTTTAAAGAGAGTTGAGAGCACAAGAAAGCAGCAGACAAGTGCAGCAATCCCTTAGGTCTGCACACTCACTTTCTCTTTTACAGCTCTGGGTCCACATCAAGAGGTCTCCCACCCTGGCAGGCTGCTGAGGCACAAAATCACCCTCTTTGCTTGTCCAGGCATCCCTTGCTGGTGAACACCCTGTACTGGGGTAGCTCACCGAGAGGTCCGTCTCCGCCCCGCAGGTAGCTTTCCTGTACAGCTCCCTGGGGATCACGCACAGACACACAGACACAATGAGAGCCTCCGACTGGAAATTCAAACAAAAATATGGCTGTCTACTCCAAAAGGCAAACTCATTTACAAAGGTCATCTCTGTTGAGGAAGAGTGATGGGTTACTCCCCTCTTGGAGGCGACTGCTGTCGCTCGTCCGCCGAGTTACATTCACAAGCATAGTTTTGAAAAGAATAAAGAAAAAAAGAGAGAGAAAAGAGACAAAAGCTCGGCAAGCCCCCTATTCACAGAGCTAGCCCCACACCTCTCCTTCCCCTCCTCGGGTAAAACCAGCTTAAAATGACATTAACATCTTCCCCTACCTTCGTTCTCATCGGAGACAGAAGCCCTTCCATTTTGGTCCGATCCTCATGCCAATCCTCGTGCCCCAACTTAGTCTCTCATCCCTCTCTCAAGCATCCCACACGAACAAGAGCATGTCAGGGACCGCCAGCGACACCCTCACGGAAGCTCGGCCAGCAGCCAACCTGCCAACTTGCAATCCTCAGTTACGTGGAGCAGTTCCTGGAGGGAGAGACCTTCCTCCCTCTCCCTCCTCTCTCTCTCTCTCTGCATAATCTGCCTGCAGCTATGTTTGTACCATCGCGGCTGACAAACGATCCCTGCCTTACGTAATGCATTCAGCACAGGACAAGCGATCCCAGCCCAGCCGCGGGGATCCGGTCGGCAGCAGTGATGGGAAGGTGTGGGACTTTGCCCTGCCTATTGTGCCGCTGGGTTTAATCTGGCAACATCCCCCCACGCAGGGCTGGCGCTCACTGCCTCTCTGTGCTAGCTAAGAAAGCACTGAGAAAACTTCGTCATCGTGGGAAGATTGTGGATTCCCTGGGATTGACTTAAAGAGGGGTAATCCTGATCTCAGGCTCTGGTTTTCCCCGCTCGGGAAACACCAACAGTTGGAGCATTTTCTGCAGGGCGGGTTCGCTGTCAGCGAGTGACCGAACCCACGCTTGAAAGGGAGTTCCTGTCAATTGTCAGCCAGGAATTGAGGGAGAGAAAGGAAGAAAAGAGAGTGAAACAAAAGAAATGTAGTCCTGCAAAGCTGGTCAGCAGAAGATACTCCCTGGATGTGTTTCTATTAGCATTTTAATTCAGATCAGAAAACGCTTTTGTGGAAAATTCCCTAATTGCTCCCATTTTCCTCATTTTGGTTTTGCATCAGGGTGTTGCTGGTATTGAATCTCTTTAAGAGAAAAATCCAACAGGAAAATAGGCTTCAGACCTGCAAACACAGCAGCGTTTGGTCCACAGGGTCACAGCAGATCAGTCCAAACCCCTCTGAAATATCATCCAGTGAGCACCAGCTGCCAATCACTGCTCCAAAGGTCACTGGTTTCTCCTGGGGCCACCCCGTTTCTACTAAGAAACAGCCACAAATAAGGCTCCCCTTCCCCTGCCCAGGGCATAACCTTCCACATACCAGTACCCAACTTCTGTCCAAAGATCAAATTAAAAACCCTGTTACACCACCAGAACCTGATTTGCAGTGTTAGAAAATCACTGTCAGGCTGGTTGGAGCATACCACAGGTGGAAATTTCTAACTCCCTTTAACATCAGCTCTTCTTTGATGCCCCAAAGCTACACACTCAGGGAGAGTCACTGTCTGAATAAGGCACTGAGCTGGGACATGGCTAAACTGCCTGCCACATGTTCCCTGGATGACCACGAGGATTCACCTCATTTAGCTTTCATCTGCAGAAACTCTGCCCTCTGGTCTGAGACAGCCACTAAGGCTCCTGCAAAGCCAATGAGAGAGAGACAGGCTCCTTCTCAAAATGATTCACCCCAAATGTCCAAAGACAAAGAAAATCCTGTCCTCAGGTCTTCTGTGGCTCCTCAATTCTCCATGCTGTGGTTTCATGCTTTGGCTACTCAGGCCAGGAACCATCTCTGCCCATGTGCATCCTTTATGTACACGTACACCTCTGCCCATGTAGCTCCTGGATAGCTACACTGAGATGGAGAAGGTAAGAGGGAATATGTTCATGGTTGTGTATGAGGATACACGGGGTGTACCAGCGGTGAACCCAGGGATAGACATGACTCCTACCCTGGCAAGCCTCAGCAAGTGACACAGATGATGGTGCTCGATCTCACACATCCCTTTTCCCCTCTATCTCTCATGATCCTTTCAACCCTGTAGATAATGCAGTTTTAGGGCATTTTTCTTTTTATTTCTTATGGGGTGAAAACAGGGAGGGGAGGTGCCCCCTACAGTGTTTAATATTAATTTCAAAGCTAATTAACTGTTCTCAGTCAAACTCAGGCCCTTATTAAATGTGAACAAATCTGATCATATCATACTGAAGGCAGAGATAGGTTTTCCAGAGCTAAAGAGGCACTGTAGAGTGCTGGCAGCCTCATCTCTTTCTTCTTGGGTGTATAGAAATATGCTTTGTTGCTGGTATTTACAAGACTTTAATAAGACCTTGAATAAATGGCAGCAAGAATTCTAGCTTCCAGCAAAACGTGACCGTTGTGATTTTTCTGCTCTACAACATCATGTCAGACTCTGACGTGAAGTTCACACATCTGTGCGTCTGTAAAACATCCTCTCCATACCACCCAGGGAATTTGACTTTACAAAGTGTTAAGAGGAACACAAAGAGACATGAGCAGTTGGGAATTTTGGAGATCTCAGGCCATGTGGTCAAGCTCTGATGCAACATGATAATGTGGATGGTGCACTCAAAGTAGCATAGGGAAACCCAGTTCTCTTTTAAATTTTGGTTCTGCTTTGAACTAGGATAAACCACGGCCTCATGAGGCTTCCTGTGTTATCTCTGTTTACAAGTGAAAAAAAGAAAAAAAGTAGTTTTCCTAAAGGCCAAAAGAGTAATTCAGTCTGGGACCAGAAAAGCAAGTCAAGGCCTTTCCGGTTCATCAGCACTCAAAGCCTCTCTGATGTGAACGGACTGGGGAATTGTGCTGATACTGCATGAGTCAGAGCAGAGCCCAGCTCAGCAGGATGAGCAGGGAAAGAGGATGGTGCTGTTTGAGCAGCACCCATGGTTGTGAGCAGGCAGCAAGCCTGCCCATCCTGGGAGCACAGGCTGAGACCCCCAGCTACATCCCAGAGGATGCTCTGGACCCCTGGTCTGTTCTGAGCCCCCACATAACATTACTGTGAGTCACAGCTGAAGTGGTGTGTGCCAGAGAGCTCTGTCCACATCTGCCTTCATCAGCGCGGGCAGAAAACCCATCTGGCTTTGCCTGTGCAAATTTCAGCATGGTTGAAAGCGTTGGGGCTGACAATGTCCAGCAAATGTGAGAGACAGACCAGCAGTGGATGGATGGGGATTGTGCTTCACACAACATCCTCCCCTCAATCTCTAGGCACCAGGTAGGACTTGAGCTCTACTTGTATCTAGGCATATACTCTTCTTTAGCCTATGCAGCCACCAACCTGTCCTTCATGTGCTACAGGAGCAGGATAACCACCTTTTGCATGCATTCAGACTGTTTGCAAAGTCCTTTCACAGCAGAGCAACAACTTTACAGTTGTGGGGGACAGAGAAGTTTATTCTCATTTCAAAATGAAAGTTTAAGGTGCTGTAGCCAGGAGAGCGGTGACACGATAGCGTGTGACATGGTCTGACACCTTGCTCCTCCCCTAGGCTGCAACTCATGGCAGTGCTCACATTACCACAGACTTGTTCAACAGCCTCCACTCCTGCGATTTTCAGATCAAAGGCACTACAAAGGCAAAAGGAGCATGTGAACACTTGCTTTATCATTCTCTTTCTGGGGAGGGGAGCAGCATTTGACTCAGAGCTTGGTCAGCTACACCCAGCATATCTCAGGTTCTTTATCTGGAGAAAAGGGGACCCACTTGTCTGTTACTCAAAGATGTTGCAGAGATTCATCCGGTCCTGGATTCAGGCCACCTCATCTTAGAAGTGTTTAATCTGGGATTATAATTACTCTTGACTCCTTAACTAATCATGGGAGCAAGATAGATACCTTGAAACCCCTTGTATTGTCATAATCTAAATATCTGCTTGATCTAGAGAGAGGATGAAGGTAGATGTCTTTCTGGAGACAGGCAGATCTTACCTGGATTCAATCTTATAGCTGAATATCTTTCTAGGTCCTGCTGACTGCATTGACAGCCTTCCATGGACCAGAACGAGAGCAAAGATATCTGCTGATATTTAGCCAAGTAGATGTAAATGGCCAAATTTAGGTGACTGACTCTGGAGCTGAATCTAATAGTGAGGAAAATGGCCCAAAAAAGCCTTATGTTCACTGTTGGCTATTGGCTGAGTGTCCTAGAAGCAGCCAGACAATACGGTATATATTTGAACTCTCAGCTTTCCTCTTATTTACTCAATGTGGGTGCATCCAAGCTGATACAAAACTTCTTTAAATCAAAAGCCTTCCTAAACTCCGAGGTGGGGATCCCAAAGCAGAGCCAAGTTGTGCCTCTCATACCAGTCCTGGAAAGCAGAGGAAGTCTGTATTTGGACTCAGTCTCCATTGCCCTATGTTGCAAAGAGTTGCCACTACTTCCTGCCACCACTTCCCGCATACCCCTGAGCTGCTGGTGGCCAGGACAGTGGGATGGGTGTTGCTGCAGCCTGGTTGTATCATGAATGCACGCCACTGGCCGACTTCGCAACTGGTCATCTCATCCAGCAAACAAAAGGTAGCATCACGGTGTTGCCATGGTGACAACCCTCCATCCGAATGGCTATGGCATCATATAAAGGAGGGGGAAACATCCCAGTCACATACCAGAGCTGGCTGAAATGTATCTTATATTTAGAACAGGCAGCACGGGGAATACTAATGTATATTTAACACCTGGAGCGCCCTTCCTGCTTGCTTTTTTATTTTTGTTGCATACTTCCCATAAGCACAACATTTACCTCCTAATGGCTTGAATAATATTGGTGCTGTGCTTCTCTTGTCACTGCTCCTCCACGTTTCCCCTTGCTTTGCACTTCTCTTCTGTGAACAAAAGTGGAAACCAGCACACAGCCCTCACAAAGGTAGCCTTTGCAAATCAGGACTGAGCCCTCCAGCAGGTCAGGGTGTTGAGGAGGGAACTGGAATGTTTGTGTGTTCCAGTTTCCCAGCCTGGCTGTGCTGTGTTTAGGGTGTGATTTTTACTACAAGTCTACTGACAGGATAACAAAGGCAAGTTTTCATGGGCTACCTGAAAATGAGCAAGATTTGCTTATGTATGTCCTACAAGAACCAGCCCATATTAGAGCCCTTTTTAAATTATTATTATTTTTTCTTTTAAACAATTGAATATCTGTGTTGTGGATAAAAATAAGGTTAACTTTGTTTCACTCATCCAGGAAAAACACACTAGAAAATGTCCTGAAATTACTTTCATGGATTGTTCTGATGCCTGGGTGAATCCTTTCAGGGATGGCACTACCTCTCCAGTCTTCTTTTCAGCTATAGATTAAGCTATAAGCAGGGTTAAAAAAAGTGGTATTTCAGATCCAGTTCTGAAGTCACCTCCTGGCATAAAGCTTTATTCTTAGAAAGGCCAGACTCTCAGCAGTGATTTTGAGAGTGAAGTGTGTGTTTTTTACTAGACACTGGCAAGGCATTGGGGTCTTTTTTTGATCCTAGAAGCCCTGAAAAAACTGCTGGGTTCCTGAAGGCTTATCTGTGTGCTTCCTGCTTGGTACCACTCCAAGGCACCAAGGATACAGGCACAATTCAGTTGGCAGCTTTGTCAGTGATGCAAGAGGAGGAACTGTGCTGCACTGGGTGTGTTGCTTTGGCAGCACTGAGAAACTGGAGCTATGTTTATTTGTTGCTGGTGTAGGGTGTATTTACAAAATGGAGGAGGCTTTTTATCTCCAAGATTGCTGGTGCAGTCCTTTGCCCCATG